CGTCACCACGTTTCTACCTGGGTGACAGCACAGGGTAATGGAGATCGTAGATGCAGACAGAGTTAGCCTCAATTTCTGTTTCTCCACTTAGTACTGTGTGACATTGGGCAGAATTCCCAACTTCTCTGAGTCCTGAATAACTCATCTTTCAGGAGAAAAGTCACCTACAGGGGCTGATTTGTGAAACACAGATGAAATCACGTGTTTCCAGAAACATGCCCTTTCTCTTTGCTGGACCCTCCTTACCCATTGTCAGAAGCTGGGGAAAACACATGAGGATGCTGGAAGAGGCACATCGTTTCTCTTTGTGTGTTGTGTGGCCTGAAAGACCTTGACAGTCATTAGGACCTGATGGTTGTTGATTGTAACCAACAATTGCCTAAAAGTGGCCGAAGCAGCAGGGTTTCCAGACACCACGCTGAGTCTGAATATGATGGGTAGAGCTTGTAAGGTCTGGATCAGCCTTATTTATAGACTTGAATTGCCACAGAGGTTCTCCTGCCCATGAATCTTTCCTTCTTCCCATTTGGTGTCACAGGCTTTCAGCGCTGGCACTGTGGTGGCCCAAAAGGATCTCAGGAGCTGGGCTTTGTTTCTCAGACACCAACTTCTATGGACCTTTTTTATCTTTAAAGGGAAACAACTACAGATTTAAAGAAGTCATCACAGTTCCCTTATTGTCTGCCAGGACTGCTGTTAGCAGTAATAAATGTCAGCTCCCTACAGACAGTCAGAGGCTTCTGGATCTTGGCTCTGTTAGGAAGTCACCTTCATCAGGACCTTGCATGTCTTTCCATCAGTGCAGGTCATTAGCATCGTCTTCTTCCTGCCTTTAAAAGTTACACTGTGCAGGTACCTGAGGACACAGTTTCATGCCACTCTTTAAAGAGTGCTTCTCTGGATTTTGTTCACTGTTGCTGATTGCCAGACCATGGGTGACCTTCAGACAAACTTTATCTCTGCCACTTCTTCCTAAGGTTATTCATTGTGTAGAGTTTTCTCTTGACTTAGTAGTTAGTGGGAGTGATGAGGGGTCAGGAGTACACAGAGTTCCACATAATGTTAGTTTTCAGGTGTCTGAATTCTGTTTGTGAAGCAAACTGGATGGGCATTTTGTTGTTTCTATGGCGATATGTCCTTTATTTGTAGCCATGACTGCTGAAGGCTAACCGGTGCTAACGCTGATTCAGTCCTTGGAGCTGAGGCTCTTTTGTCAATCCTGACTGAGTCACGGCCTGTGTCTCAGTGACCCAGTAGGGAGGGTTTAGTCTTTTGCAGGAAGGCTTTGGCAGTGCGCATGCCTTCTGCACACGGCGTCTTTCATCATTGCTTGGCATGACTTTGTCCCATAGCCTAGGCGTGCCTGGAGGGACCAAGCAGTCTGTTTAGATCCATTCTAAGCCATCCAGGGGTGTTGGGCAATTTAAAAACTACTGTTTAGATTCCACACCAGCACGACCTAAATGGCGACCAAATGAGGAGCAAAGAAGGATTTCTTTCCCATTATTATTATAAAACTCCTGAGTAGGTAGGTGATCCAGTTTGTAGCCTTTTTTTACTTGAAAATTACTGATGTAAAATTGCTAGAATAAGCCAAGTGGCCTCTGATTTAATGCTTAAGATGTTAACATGCCTAGTTTCTGTTCCTTTGTTTAAAACATTAAAACTAGTCACTTTTTGAGCTGTTAACCTTTGAATCATAAGAGGCTACTTTACTGAATTTGATGATTTTTAAATTGACATTTACCTTTAGTAGCTGCTTGGCTAAATTCTTTAAATCAAATTAGAGATAAAAGGACTACAAAAATTAGCAAAACATGTGATTTGAGTCTTGAAATTTTATTTGTAAAGGAAAAGTTTGAAGCCACTTTTGGTAGTACCTGCCTATAATCCCAGCACTGGGAAAGCTGAGGCAGGAGGATTAACGGTCAAGGCCAGTTTGTCTCAAAAATAAAATTCTTTGTTCAAATAGTGGACTTAATTCCTAAAGTTGTTAAGTTGCTCTCTGAGCTGTCTCTAAATCATCACGCTGTTGTGTGGCTTTTCCTGGGGAGACGTGCACAAACATGTTTTCACCTCCGATGGGGTACTAGCATCTGACCAGTGAAATGATTCCGTCCCCTTGAGCTTGGTGAAGTGGTGGGTTTATTGGGGTTGCTTGTGGGAATGTGGTGAAGGGCTCCTGACAGGAGCGTGGATGACTCGAGCCAGCACATCTTTGGAGCCCCCTATTCAATGGTGGTCACTTTCAGGGAAGAGTCCCTCTCGCCCCGCAGTTTGTTCAGAGCTTGTGTAACTTTGGAGAAGGACTGCCTGAATTTTATAACTTTTTTGTTTTGCTGTATTTTGTTTTTGAGACAAGGTCTCACTGTGCAGCCCTGGCTAGTCAGGAATTTGGTATGTGGACCAGGCCAGCCTTCCGTCTGCCTCTGCCTCCTGAGCATTGGGATTAAAGGCATGCACCACCACACATCTGGTTAACTCCTAAAGCTTTCTGGGTCCTGTAAGGTGCAGCAGCTTCCTGAGTCACCTAAGTTTCCTCAGTTCCCTGAGCTTTATGAACCTCCCTCTTCCCTTCAGAAGGGGATATGTAAATTCAGAAAAAGTTACAAAAACACATCTTTGTTCTGTTGGTCAGAAATTTGGGGGTTATTTGGCTGGATGGTTCTGGTTCAGGGTCTTTCTGTTATCAGTCTATCTGTCTGTTGCCACCTGATGCTAAGCAACTATCAACATGGTAAGAGGCTTTGAGGTTGTTTTGGGTTTTGGTTTTGTTTTCTTCCAACCTATCCACCTAATCACATTCTTCATGGGGACCCTCATGATTTGGCAGCAGGAGCACGCAGGAAACTGCAGTGCCTGTAAAGAAAGCAAGCCTCCAAAGGCTTCCCAGAGGGGAGACACCAGGTTTACTCTGTGCTCAGAGGAGTTGGTGCTAGGAGTGTGGGGGATATTTTCAAACTCCCTCAGTTGGTATAAAAGGGACACATACCAGCTACGTAGCATCCCCTGGGTCTTCAGAATTCTCTAGGTCAAATGAGTGATTGTAGAACGATGAGCAGGTAGGTTCCATTGGTGCTGCAGCAGAAGGAAGTGGATGATGCTGCTGCAGTAGAAGGAAGTGGATGATGATGCTGCAGTAGAAGGAAGTGGATGATGATGCTGCAGCAGAAGGAAGTGGATGGTGCTGCAGCAGAAGGAAGTGGATGATGGTGCTGCAGTAGAAGGAAGTGGATGATGGTGCAGTAGAAGGAAGTGGATGGTGCTGCAGTAGAAGGAAGTGGATGATGATGCAGTAGAAGGAAGTGGATGATGGTGCAGTAGAAGGAAGTGGATGATGATGCAGTAGAAGGAAGTGGATGGTGCTGCAGTAGAAGGAAGTGGATGATGATGCAGTAGAAGGAAGTGGATGATGGTGCAGTAGAAGGAAGTGGATGGTGCTGCAGTAGAAGGAAGTGGATGATGATGCAGTAGAAGGAAGTGGATGATGGTGCTGCAGTAGAAGGAAGTGGATGATGCTGCAGTAGAAGGAAGTGGATGATGGTGCTGCAGTAGAAGGAAGTGGATGATGCTGCAGTAGAAGGAAGTGGATGATGATGCTGCAGTAGAAGGAAGTGGATGATGGTGCTGCAGTAGAAGGAAGTGGATGATGGTGCAGTAGAAGGAAGTGGATGATGATGCTGCAGTAGAAGGAAGTGAATGATGATGATGCAGTAGAAGGAAGTGGATGATGGTGCTGCAGTAGAAGGAAGTGGATGATGATGGTGCTGCAGTAGAAGGAAGTGGATGATGCTGCAGTAGAAGGAAGTGGATGATGCTGCAGTAGAAGGAAGTGGATGATGCTGCAGTAGAAGGAAGTGGATGATGCTGCAGTAGAAGGAAGTGGATGATGCTGCAGTAGAAGGAAGTGGATGATGCTGCAGTAGAAGGAAGTGGATGATGATGCAGTAGAAGGAAGTGGATGATGCTGCAGTAGAAGGAAGTGGATGATGCTGCAGTAGAAGGAAGTGGATGATGCTGCAGTAGAAGGAAGTGGATGATGATGGTGCAGTAGAAGGAAGTGGATGATGATGGTGCAGTAGAAGGAAGTGGATGATGCTGCAGTAGAAGGAAGTGGATGATGCTGCAGTAGAAGGAAGTGGATGATGATGCAGTAGAAGGAAGTGGATGATGATGCCGTAGAAGGAAGTGGATGGCAGCAATAGAGTTGGCATTGTCCCAGACGAACACTGAGGAGTTGAGGTTTCTAGATAGATGTCTCTCAGTGGTTTACAGGACAATGCCCTTAGAGTTCTGCATTGGAACTGGGAACTCCATTTGCTTCTCTTTTGTGTGGAAGAGAACTGAGGAGAACATGACAAGCTTGACTGGACAGTTATCCTCTGGTTTGGTCTTTTCTCCAAGCAGAAGGAAGACATTTTGGTGTAAACATGACTTCCCCTGACTTCTAAGAAGCAGGTCATTACCACACCAGGAGAGGGCTAGTGGGATTATGCTGTGTCTCTCCATATGGCAGCATTCTGGCCAAGTGTCTGAGGAAGTGAGTGAGCACAGGACCGTGAGGTGGCCACCGCCACCTTGCAACACTTAAGAAGGTTCCTAGTCAGGCACACTCATTTTCAGCAATGTTCATTTCTGGCTTGCTATACCATTGGGGGTGTTGCTTTAGTTTGCTGTTGTTACTGTGACCAGGCCTCCCCACTAGACTTCCCAGCCTCATTTCTTCATAGTGAAACTCTTAGAATATTTTTAAAAATTGGGATGGTTGTACACGTGCAGAAATGCTTGAGGGTGTTTGTTTTCCTCTTCCTAATGACAACTTCTATTTCAGGTTCTCGTGCAGCTCGGGCTCTGGCTGCCAATGCCAGATGGCACCGTTTCTGAGAGAAGAGCTGGCTTTTGCTTGGAAGTAATACCCACAAACAATGCCAGATTAGCATAAGCAAATGTCAGTGAGTGAGCACAAAGCCAACACTCCCCGTCTTTTCTTCTCTTTCTAGGCCATGGGTGTTGAGAGTGACCAGGAAATTGTGCAGATGATTGGAACAGAGGAGCACGTGATGGCTGCGTTTGGGCCCAGCTTGGAGGAGTGCCAGAAAGCTCAGATTTTCACACAGATGCAGGTGTGTCTTTCATGGCGTCCTTTGCTGTGGATTGAGTCTTCAGTGCTGTTCATCTCAATAAGCCATTGCAGTGGGGGTGTAGGGTGGGGAAGGGGATCGAGGAGAAGAGCAACACAGAGGTTCCTTTGACCCGCTTCCGGAAACTGGAGGAAGGAGTCGCTGCGCCAATCATCAGAAGAGGGCTTCTTCGTGGAGAGGAGGCTTCTCCTGTGCTTCAGTAACGGCACCATCTGCCCTATTTGTCCAAGGGATGGTACACTGTTAAAACCCTGGCAGTTCCCACCTGAGACTTGCCTGCTTTCATTCTCTTCGATAGCCTTTTGGTGGTGGTGTTGGGTGGGTTGCTATGATAAACCACCATGACTGAATGCAACTAAAGGAAGAGTTCATTCTGGCTTGCAGTTCCAGAGGGATAGCGTCCATAGTGGTAGCGAAAGCATGGTAGCAGGAAGCAGGGGCAGGAAGCTAGCCAGTCACATTTTCATTGACACGAAGTAGGGAGAAAGTAGGAATTGGGGCAAGGCCACCTTCACATCCCACCCCCAGTGACATACTTTTTCCAGCATAGCTCTACCTCTTGAAAGTTCCATGACCACCAACTGGGGACCAAGTGTTCAACCCATGAGCTATAAAAGACATTTCTCATTTAACACAACAGGGACCCAAACCAGGGCTTTGTGTACGTAGCAGGTACTCTACCAATGAGCTGTGTCCTTAGCTCTTAATGTCTGTTCGTTCCCAACTTCCAATTTACCTATTCAGTCTTTATCCCATTTTCTGAATTCCCAATTACTTCAGTATCAAGAAAGGTCCAGGAATAGTTCCTTTTATTCCCCCAGAATCTTCACTGGCCTCAGGTACAGCTGGTTAGAACCTTGGAATCTAAGGACAAGATTCAAAGATGATGTTAGGGAACTCCATGTGTGTAAACATGATTTTAAAAAATAATTATAATTCCTTTTTCATGTGGGAGAGTCCTCATACTACTTGGGCTTTTTAGTATGATAGTCACAAAGTGTTTTGCTAACTGAGTCTATGTGGCATTTCTTATACCCTCTGGGAGCTAGGGATGCCCTCCTATAGAACTAGGATTAGATGGTTTGAATTTGTCCATATGTACATTGCCTAGCCTGTGAGATACTTACAGGAAAATATAAAGCCTGAGTTTCTTTCTTCTGGCCACCCTTGATGCATGTAGAGAGAACATTCCCACTTACTGTCTGCTTATGTGTTCTGAAATCAAATCAGTCTGGATGGATTTTAGATGAAGTCTTGCACTTAGGAAGGTTGATGTCATACTTCAGTGTGTGTATCCAAAACACATCACTAGGGATCGCTCCTGCCTGCTTTACTCGTTCTCCATGGTGAGTGGAAATTGACTCAAATAGTTGGGCAAATAACATCGGGAAACAGTATGTTGATTAGGAAGTACTCGTTTTGGCCTTTCTTGAAAGTGAAATACTTGATAGGCATGAACCTTCATTAAAAAATCAAAGAATCATGTCCAGGGATCTAAGAACATAGAGAGGAAACATTAAGAAATGAACAGGAAGTAGAAAATGAACACTTGTCCTGTGAACAGGAATATAGGCTCAGCCTTGGGAGACTTGCTGTCTGTCTGTGACAAAAGAGTGTTCTAATGGTAACAGGGCTGACAGTTTCCTTCCTCCACATTTTAACCATCGTTGGTCAGACAGCCCTCGGCATTGTAGAGCTGTGTCAGCAAGGCCACAGTGGGTTGGACTCACATTCCCATCTGTTAGTAGATACTCACGGAAACTTCTCAGCTAACTCAATTAGATTAGGTTGGAGAAAAGATGGAAGAGAGATATAATTAGTTAACTTCAGAAAGAGAAATGTTTTGTTTCCCTGAACAGAAAGTAAGGATTTGCAAGTGCTTACAGTCTGCATGCTAGGTTAATAATAATCCAAAATGTTTAGTACATTGAAGATACAGCATTGGTTAAAGAAAGCATGAGTATTCTCTCCTATTCTGAATGAGGACGGAGAATGTGCACTTCATTGTGGAATAGTGTTGTGTGACCAAACTTTTCCTGGGGAGACACAACACATAAGTCTACTCACCCCAGATTAGGATCTCGGGACTGACCAAGGTATGGACACCGCTAAAGTCCAACCTGGTGAACCATTGAGTTTTATTGGAAGAATATGGGTGAGGGGTTACTTACAGGAGCAGAGGTGACTCAGACAGCTGTATCACCAGAGCCCACCCCAGCATGGATGACAGCTCAACAGGTTGGAGAGTGTCCTTTCCTGACTCGGGTCTAAAACTCTTCTAGGCAGCTTGGCTGGTTTCTGTTTCTTTCAAGCTGCTGGTCTTAAGTCTTCTTCGAAGCTTTTTTTTTTTTTTTTCTCTCTCTCTCTCTCAGTCTCTTTTTTTTCCTCTCTCAGTCTGTTTTTTTTCTCTCTCAGTCTCCATTTGTCTAAGAGGAACTCTCAGCTTCATTTGGCAGGGAGGGACCTACTGAATCTACTCAGTTTCAGGGACTTCCTGACACTATCTTGAGTTGTTTAGCTTCCTGCTCAAGAATCTTCTTTGTGAGGTGGAATGTTTCAATTTTGGAGGAAACTGTTACACCACACATAGCTCTTTTGAAGATGTTATGCTTCAGTGAATTAAATGAAGGAGTGTTGTTGTTTGTTTGGTTTTATGCCTGTTTTTAGCCTCCACCATTTCCTCTGTTCTAAAGCCTTAGCTCTATATTGTTTATACGTTTTTTCATCATTGTCAAGGGCTCTGGTTCTTTCCTTTTGGGAGATGTTGCTAGGAATAATATTTTGGCCTTCCTTGATAGGCTGTTTCTGCAGCCCTCACACTGTGAGGAAGTGGCATTGTTGGGTACCCAGGGAAGAGACAGCAGTGTGACACCAGAAGGGATTCCGCTCTCCTTGTGTACCTCTCACTTTTTCCCTCAGAGTGAGGAATCCTGCGCCCTTCCCCAAGGAGAAAGCTGTAATGGCCGTCTCAGTTTAGGGAACATCAAGCTGCCTCCTTGCTCTTGTCTCCCGCGGAGTGGGCTTGCTCCAGTCAGCTCCTTTGTGTTGCTCACTGAGAGTCACTATGTGAGTGCTTCAGGGCCTCCTCTGTCTAATCTGTGACTTCACAGTGTTTCCTCCCCCACGGGTTTCCTTATGCCCTCCAGTTCTAACTCCCCTCTCCCCCCCCTCTGGTATTACGGTGATTTTATCTCATTTGTTCCTGAGCTTTATACGGAATTAGCTGTGTATAATGTGTCTAACTTTTGCTAAGCATGCTGTCCAAGATTTCCTGAGGTTTTTTGGTTGTTGTTTGTGTTCCTTTCATGTTGTTTCTCCATGGAGTCTGTCCTCTTTATTGCTTAATAATATTCTACTGTATAACTGAACCAGTTTTCCCTTTTTGTATTGATGTTCATTTGGATCTTCTTTCTTTTGCTTTTATGAATTGTGCCACCATTGACAAATCTTTGTATGGGCAATTTTATTCTTTTGGGTAAATACATAGAAGTCGAGTTACTGGGCCAGAGAACAGTGCATATTTAACTTTTATAAAGTTGAAACTTTCCAGTCCCCAAATGATCATTCTATTTTGTATTACTGGCCGCAGTGTACAAGTCTGATTGCTTCTTGTTCTCACAGTATTTGGTGATGTGTCTTTTTAATTTTAGATGTTTTAACAGGTGTGTAGCATTATCTTATTGTAGCCTTAATATTCATTTTTGATGGCAAATTATGTCGCGTGCTTTTCACGTGTGAATCAGCCACTGATTTTCTTTTGAGGGGTTCGGACTGTTTATTTGTTCACTGTCTGCATTCAGTTGTGCATCTTTTTATTAATGAATTTCAGAATCCTTTTAAAAATGAAGTCTGAGTCAGGCATTGTGGCACATGTCTTTAACCCCAGCACTTGAACTCTGTGAGTTCAAGGACAGCCTGGTCTACAGAGTGAGTTCCAGGATAGCCACAGCTATACAGAGAAACCCTGTCTCAAAAAAACAAAAGCCAACAGAAAAGTGTGGATATAAATCCCGTGTCTGGCTTCCATATTGTAAACACTGCCAGCTCTTTCGTTGCCTCTCTGGTCTTTTTCTTTCACAGTGCTGTTTACCTTTGAAAACACCAAGTTATCAAAAAAGTTGTGTTTTGTCTTTTACAATCATTACCTCTGTATCCTGGAGGTCTTTGCCTACTCCACATTAGATTATTTTCTATGTCTTTTTCTAGAAGTCATACAGTTTTAATTTCCACATTAGTTATAAAGTCCTTTTTTGTTTTTGTTTGTTTTTCAAGACTAGGTAGCTCTGGATGTCCTGGAACTCACTGTGTAGATCAGGCTGGCCTCAAACTCAGAGATCCTCCTGCCTCTGCCTTCCGAGTGCTGGCGGCATTAAAGCCGTGTGCAGCATCACCTGGCAGGTGTGAAGTCTTCCCTCGGATTAGTTTTTCCTCTTGGCGTGATCCAGAGGCCCGGGCTCCTTGCTCATGTTCGGGTCTCGAGTTGTGTTTCGCCACCAGGTACTCAAAGGACAGTTTTTTTCTCGCTGACTTGTTTTGACTCTTTTGTCAAGAATCAGTTGGGCACTCTGTGTGAGGTTGTTAGGGGCTTGTGGTTTCTTTCCGTCTGTCCCTCTCCATGCCACTGTTAACATCTTTGTCATTCCTGAGGTTTTGTTTCTTTAGTTTTTGAGACAGGATCTCTCTATGTAGCCCTGGCTGGCCTTGAACTGACAGAGATCCACCCGCTTCAGCCTTCCAAAGCTTGAGATTAAAGACCGTGATATCAGTGCCTGGCTACTGCGGCTTTGTAGTTGAAGTCATGATCTTTTCAGCTATCCAAGCCCTTTGTGTAGCCATGTAAATTATAGAACCTAGGGCTTTATAATCAACCAACTTGGAGTTGTTTAAACCCCGCTGGGAATAAAATGATCTATTATTAATTTATTGGTTAATTTGGAAAGAATTTAAACTGTACATCATGTTATTAAGTCATCTAGTTCATGACATTCATCCTGCATTTATTTGGGTTTTGTTTTTTCTGTAGCTCTTAGATCTTGGCATGGTTTGTTTTCTTGGTTTTTTGTTTTGTTTTGTTTTAATGGGAACTACAACATTCCATAGTGATATTCTGAATGAAGAATTGATGGCTGCCTTATACACACACAAACACATTTTTTATCTATTTCTCAATTCCCTATAAATAGTTATGTGTCAATTTTATAGGAATAAGACAATTTAAAAATGAAAGGGGAGCCAGTGTGTGGGGTAGGCATTGTGCTGTAGTATTTGTTATTGATTCATGACGTTGTCTTTGTTCCCAATGCGGCAATCTGTGTAACCAGGTCCTTGACTTCTTTGCTTGTAACAGCACGTCAGCACGGATGATCCCAGTGATGTAATCAAACCCTGCTTTGTTTTTTTATAGGCGTTAAAATATATAGGGAATAAAGTAAGAAGACAAAGAATGTGGGGAGGTGGACCAAAGAAAACAAAAATAGAAGAAGCAAGAGAACTCCTGGCTTCTACCATTCTGACCCATGTACCTGTGAGTAATCGTCAGCTCTGAATGACGTTTGTGAGACCCACGACTTCCTCCCAAAGACTCTGGAATGCGGTGTACACTGTTAGTTTGTCCCCAAGAGCTAATACTAAGAGGACTGCACTGCCCCGTTGGGACTCAGCTCCCGTTATCAACAGTCAACGTCAGTAGTCAGTGTTGCCTGTGCCATTTTTTAAAATGCTCATTGGCTGAGTCATCCCCATGATCTTGAATTGCAGGGTTTCTAGCTTCCATCATTTACAGCGAAGACTCTCTCATCCATAGCTGGGTGGTTTGCTTTGTCACCTGACTGGTGAGTGTAAGAGCTACAGAAAAAACAAAACCCAATTTAGGAGTGTACTAGAGAGAAGCTAGAGCCTGCCTACTGGTCTTGAAGTGGGCCATGATTATTTTCTGTTAACCTACCATTGTAGGTCAGCTGTGGTGGCATGTGGGGTATTTCCAGGAGTTGTCCTCTCCTCAGGGAATGTGTGTGCCCCTTTTGCTAAATCAGAGCTACCAAGTGCACCATCATGGATGATCTAATTCCAGGGTCACAAACTGTACCTTCAGGGAATCTGTGGACGTGGACTGGCTTTGTAGTGACATTCAGGTTCAGTTTTCTTACCTTAAACACTTACAGCAAATAATCTGTATATCCATACTGCTCTGCGGCTTCTGTCTGTATGTCTGTGATCTGATTCAGAGCATTTGAAATTCTTATTGAAGCTGTGTGGGAGCTGAGTTTTAAGTTCTTTTGGATGATTGAAAAGAGTTTAAAATTCAAAACAGCAAAAGGGGATAATGTGAGCAGTGAGATACTGGAGACACAATTGTTCAGATCCTTGGATAGTATGACCAGTGAGATGCTAGAGTTAGAGACACGATTATTCAGATCCTTGGATAGTGTGACCAGTGAGATGCTGGAAACACGATTGTTCAGATCCTGGTTTGGAACTCTGAGTTTCCCTTGCACTAATGTGAATTTTTCTGAACTTAAGTTTCTTCATCAGAATTATGAAGTAACATTACTACCCCCTAAGTCTCTTGTGATGGTTCGGCTTATACAGAAAGCTCCATTTCCCAGCTCTCCAAGATGGTACAGTATATTAGGAGCCTGGCTTACCATAATACTGTAATGGCAGAGAGCCTTGTTGACCATGATGACTGTGCAGGTCTTTGCTAAATTTGGGTCTTAAAGCATAATTCCTTGGCTCTTTTGCAAAGAGATTGAACTACTATTTTTCAATTTTTTAAATGTTTTTAAATACATATTTCAGTAAAGAATAGATGAATTAGGAAAAGACTTAGAGTTTTCAAAGTCTAAGACAGTTTTTTTACATAAATTAAAACTTTGGGGGCAATACAGGAACATGAGGTATTACCAAAAATAAAGCAATGCCGATGGTGTTCATCAAGGGGCAGGCTCAAGAGCTCTCTGGGCTAACTAACACCCAGGAGTTTGCTAGAAATAGGGAGGCTCTCCCTAGACCTGTTGAGTTGGAGACTCTAGAGTGAGCCTTATCATCTGCATTTTAGCAAGTCTTCCAGGTGCCTGTGGCACATTCACAGACTGGAAAACCTTAACTGTTCAGAGTAGGGCGACATTGAGAAGTCTCCGGGTTCTGTTGACAGTTCTGCTCCACCATCCCATGCGCATTTTAGAGCTCTTACCCTTTTCAGGTGATTCATGTTAACACCCCCAAGGAATGCACAGTCATTAGAGCAGAGGGTTCCCACTTTCCATGTGATTGTGGACATTGTCCTGGGAAAATGTGCTCAGACTGAAATCATTTCAGTTTAGGTCTAGGCTTGGGTTTCAAGCATATTGTAGTTAAAAGGGGAGGTGGGTAAAATGAGTTGAAGAACCATGAGTGTAACAGGGATTGTTGCTATGATATTCATGTTTACTTCTGCCTGTAAGTCCACCAGTGTTTATGTTGTGAAAGGGGAAGGTGAACTGGGCTTTGTTGAAAGTTAAAAATGTGACTAATAATTTCTTTATTTTTCTCATCGATAAGCAAAACAACTGTTACTGATTATTAAACAGCCAGAAGAGTTAGATGATCAATGCAACTTACCCAACATTAAGGCCAAGAAAATAAACACAGAGTTCTATAAATACTGAGAATATAAATTATTTATTATCACTGCATAACAAAGAGCTTCAAACCTCAGTGACTGAACATAACTGTGTGGTCTCACTCATTGGTCTGTGTTCACTAGTCTTAGCCCAGAGTTCGAGCAGGTTTCTTGTCTTGGCCTGTCATGAAGTTGCAAATGGCAGCTGAGACTGGAGTCATCGGACGGCTTCACTGGACTGGGTGTCCACCAAGGCTTCCTCACTCACAGCGAAATGCACTCCTTTCCCACTGTGTCCCTGACTTGCCCTCTGATGCCTCGGGATTTAGGACAGTGAACGTGCCAGGGTTGGAGAGACCTGGCTTGGCATCATGTCTGCCATATCTCAGACTCACCATGGGCCAGTCCACAGTGGGCAATGACTGAGTGGCATGGAGGACGTAGGAAGCAAAGCTGTTCCAGTCGTCATCTTTGAAGGAAGACTACCCACAGCGGCAATAAACGCAGAGAGGGAAAGTTTGAATACCTAGTTTACACTAGCTGATTTCTTAAAATGGGGAGAACTGTAACAATTCATTGCTGTCTTATTTGAATGTAATAGCATCGTTTTCTTGAGGCACCTTGATTAAGTAAGTGTACACCATCGCAGAATGTTTCTCCAATTTCTGAACTACAGGTTAAGGAATTCAATTTCCGAGCTAAGTGCATCTACACCGCAGTGATGGTGCGGAGAGTGATTCTGGCCCAAGGAGATAACAAAGTCGATGACCGGGACTATTATGGTAACAAGCGTCTGGAATTGGCGGGACAGGTACTTTAATTACCTTCATGAAGAATTTTATTTTCTTTGATAAGATTAGGTTTTTTAGTCACTCTAGATATGAATTCTTACAAATCTAATAGAAACTGTATGTAGTTTGAAGTATAACTTTCGCATATGACTTAGTTGATTTTTTTTTTTTTTTTTGCTGTGGAAAGTCTTTGTTCTTTAAATAGCCCTGTAGTGTGTCACCTGTGTTACATCTTTTGTTGAGATGTTTTCCCTCGTTCCAATCCTGTAATGTTGGAAGAGAAACGTGACTTTAAGTGATATTAACAGTTGTCTTAATTAACAATTAACAACTTAGTTTAATTTCAATTAGTAAATATTTCTTAGATACTTCTCTGTTCCAGGCTTGCTCCTAGGTACTGGTGCTGCGTGTACAGGAGGAAGATAGACAGACCAAGGTTTGAGTGTGTGTGTGTGTGTACACAAGTGTGTGTGAGATCCAGTGCCCAAGGCAGCTCAAGGCATTAGATGCCCTGGAGCTGCAGCCACAGGTGGTTGTAAGCTGCCTTGCATGGGCGCTGGGAACGGAACTCTGTCCTTACCTCTGAGTCGTCTCCCCAGCTCCAGTCACGTTCTGAAACCATGTGTGAGTGAGTACCTAGGTAGAGGTGGGGTTTGGATTTCATTTGACATGGAGTGGAGAGCCACTGTGCAGGTTTAGTCAGGGAGGGACATGAGCTGGGTTTTAGATCGGAGAGAACAGACTTGGAGATGAGCAGGCCAAGAATGGGCTGGCCAGAGGCGATAGCAGTGATCCACATGAGGCCTGTCAGCCAAGAGGAAACCAGCAGATGTTTCCCAACTAAAGTTAATTTTTATTCGTTTGCGGCAGTGGGGAGTGAGAATGAGTTGGTGTGTGCACGCGTGCTTAGTGGAGATGAGAGGACAACTTGCAGAATGGTTCCCTCCCTCTGCCGTGTGGGTCCCGGGGATTGATCGGGCTTGGCAGCAAGTGCCTTTACCACCAAACTACCTGTCTAGCCCCACAACTAAAATAGAAAGTTAGAATTTGGAAGTTAGAACCATTTTTAGGCTTGGGAAGAGTCGGGATCGGGGATGTGGGGAAGCTCTGTTTGGTTAGGGGAATGCCTGTTTAGCAGGGGGTTCTTTTTTACACATTCAGATTGACCACTCACTCTGCAGGGATTTATGGTATTCCTACTACTAATCCTCATTTTCACCATTTTTCAATTAAAAAAAAAATCAAGCTGTCCTTAAAAAAAAAAACAACAGGTTGTGTAGAGGAATATGGAAGGGAATGAGGAGGCTAAAGAGGATATCCTGTTGCTTAAGAAATTAGAATTAAAAAAGGATCCCACATGCACGAAAACATAGCTTACTGAACAATGTAAGCACATAAAAGGTATTGTGTTGGCAAGAATGTGTAAAAACAATAGCGGCTAGTTCCCACCCCTGGGATGAGGCAGGGGAGCCACACTTCAGCTTTAGATAACAGAGTTGTCTCCACTGGCCCAGTGAGCTCTCCCTCAGTCTGTCACCAGAGAGTTGCCCGGCCAGGCGCCAGTAGGTGTTAGCAAAACCTACTGATTTCAGGCTTAATCTTTGCACTTACCTTTTCTTTTTCGGTAATGTGTTCATTATTTGCTGCACGTTACTCTGTTCTTTGTCTGCACATTTTTTGTTTCTAATGCAGCTTGCTTTGTATGGGCGAGATATGGAATGGCACCAAACTCCAGCACCCTGGAAAGCCAGGGATTTCCATCCCGGGACAAAAGAATGCCGTCCTGACTTCAGAGATTGCCTAATCCCAGCTGTTCTGATAATGTAATTAAGGCTGCCTAATGTCTTTAATTTTGCAACCAGTTTGTGTGAAAAGGAGAATTTGGCACTCTGAAGGCTTAAACACTAAATAGCAATCTCAAGGCGCCTAATTAGAATTCTCTGACATTAAGCTAATTGGTGAAACTGTGTTTCAGCGGCTTAACTTCTTTATTAATTTTTTTTAGCATTTTCATTGAAAATCAATGGATGAGCTGTCAGCACTGTTCCCTGAAATATGATTTGCTTGATGTTGCTTCTGTCTTCAGCCGGAGGAAGTCGAATGTTAGCGCAGCATCCTGCCCTTGTAATCATTTTGCTTCCGACCTGGACTTGGTGGTTCATTGTATGGCTTGGCCTTTCAGCCTCTCATTGCTCTGGTAACTGGACGGCACTACTTCTCTAAAGTTGAGGTTTTAGGAGAGGAGAAATGTATTCCTGTGGCAGTGTTGTTGACGAGGCAGTCCTGTTCATTTGTGTTTAGCACCAGGGACATTTTCTTGTGTCTGAGTCAGGAAGCCACAAAAGATTCAGCTGGAGTCCCAAAAACCTTTTTCGTAATTTGAGACAAAGGCAGCTAAGTGTAAGGACTAACTAATTAAAAAGAGGGCTGGCTCTGTGGTCTGGTTGAGGGTACTTGATTCTGTTCAGGACGCTTGTGCTGGTTCCGTTGTGCTGCCCACAGGAAGTGCTGGAACGGGCTGTGTCGCCCCTCACCCTTCTGCACCTGCTTCCTCCCACTCCCACAGACTTTCTTCCAGGAGAGAGGCTGCTGGGTCTGCCTGTGAGGAAGGATTAAGTTCTCAGGGAGGAAGGTTTCTTTTCAGAACACTTTTGTAAATTCAAGTCCAAGATCCTGGCTGCCTGGTCTGCAGACTTGGTTTTAGTAGAAAAGTAGATGGATGTGTCCAACTTAAGGGGAAAGGCATTTAAAATGGTCCAACTTAGAAAAATTCTTTTGCTGTTAAGGAAAACTTAGTTGTTTTGAATAATTCTTCCTTCAGAGTCATAAGTCTGCTTTCCCATTATAAACTCAGGAATATAGTCAGTGTGGGATTTGGTGAATCTTCAACTTAAATGTTTTCAGTGAGTCTCAGAATTCTTCTTTAAGTGAATCATTGAAATGCTTTTGCTAGTTGACTTTAATCACAAACCAATATGTTGAGCTTTTTTTGTTCTATTAATGAAAGGAAAGCTTACATGGGAAATTTGAATATAATTATGGAGATTGGTGTTTATAATAGCTACTATATTTATTGTTGAAGAAGTATGCCAGCTCCCTCTTGTAGTATAACAGCTACTTAGTGTTTCCTCTCTGTGAACTTCACATTACTGATGTTTTAGTTATCTGTTGCTGTGGCACATGCTTGCCATAAGCAGTGGTTTCCTTTTCTTAGACCTCACAATTTTGTGGGTCAGGCATTCAGGTGGAACTGGGCTGTTTGCCTGTGGTGCTGGTGGAGGTCAGCCATTGGTCATCTAGTGGATGGCTGCAGGAAGGGCTGAAGGGCAAGGTCCAGTGAGGATGTGACTTCAGATGACTCCACACTCTGAGTGCATGTTCTTGTGGACAAGACAGAAACTCCATGTCGTAAGGTCTAGATGCACAGGCCACACTATCGTTAATGCTTCCCCGAGGGTCACAAGCCCTGTCCTCCGTATTTTAGGTGTTGGGGCACATGCCCTGAACCTCATATTCCTTTTATAGTTCAGAGGATAGCCGGAGGTTGAGGCAAGTTTATTTATGTAATTTGGGGTTTCTCCCTGTGGCTCTTTCCCTTCTGAGAATTCTCCTCGCTTTCCAGCTATTTGTATATCTTAGCTGGGGTTGCTTTTTCTCTGGTTCTTCAGTTAAAAAAAAGAGAGGAATTGGGGGGGCAGGGTGCTGGGTCAATGGGAGGGAAGCTTTTGCATTTTGGTTTCCCATTTAGACCCATCTCAGTTCAGCTACTAGGTAAAAAGTCTTAAAAACAAGCAATGATGAGTATCTTCCAGGTTTTGCCTGCCAGTGCCTTCCGAGATGGTGGTGCTTTGCTCAGACAGAGACAGACGCATCCATTGGGTGCTGTACTAGTCACCCCTCTAGTTCTACAGACACCACTTAAATGGTTTTCTTCCTCCTTGTTCTACCCTGACCAAACTATGGGACATATGTTATTGAATAGCATTTATTTTAATGGAGTTCTTAGGACAAATTAAAAATATGTCACACAGATGTGTGTGATGAAGGAGACAGATAAAACGAACACTAAGAGCCACTTCTCAGTGTATCCTGCCATCAGTGCCATTTCATTTTCCTGTTGTCCATTTCCCTCACTGCTCTTAGAGATGTTTGCATTTATTGTTATCTTCATTTATTCAAGACAAGGTTTCGCTGTGTAATAGTGGCCTTGGCTGTCCTGGATCTCACTCTGTAGACCAGGCTAGCTTCAAACTCACAGAGATCCACCTGCCTCTGCCTCCTGAATGCTGGGATTAAAGGCATGCACCACCATCTCCCAGGAGATTTTTGTTCATATTAATTTTAATTATGCGTATGTGGTGAGTATGTGCACATAAGCACAGATGCCCGTGGAGACCAGAGGTGTTAGATTCCGCCTGAAGCTGGAGTTCCAGGAGATTGTGAGCTGCTGGCAGTGGGTGCTGGGACTCGGGTTCCCTGGAAGAGTAGCACACTGCTCTTAACTGTTGAGCCTTGCCTCTAGCCCTGATGACAAATGTAAACCTTTTATTACACAGTGTAAGTTTTGTTTATTTTGAGCTTTATAAAATAAATTTATATCATACAATTCATCTATAACTTTTCTAGTCAGTGTTATTTTTAAGATTCAACAGTATTGTGTATCACCATAGTGCATTTTTATTTCTGTATCATAATCCATTACATGTGGATACCATGAAATATAAATATTGCTCTGCCCAGTCTACTAGTCAAGAGCTTTGTATGCTTTCCTTTTTCTTTAGCCTAACCTTATTCTCCACTTTTCCTGGTTCCTAGTTCAAGTATTTACAGCAGGAGGACTGCTTTCATGGAAGCAGGTTGCCCGTGTCTACGTTGTCTTGTAGATGAATTCCTGATGCTCTCCATCTATGACTCCTTGTCCAACTTTATGTTTTTGTCTCTGCGGGTTCAGGGTAACATCTTCTGTGTCCTTATTTGTGTTTCCTACTTGATGAATGAGATTAAGTTGTTGACCAGTATT